CGCAGCTTCCTCCCATCGTGCGCTCTAGTTCTCGCTGCGTCCCAGTCTTTCTAGTTGGAGAAAGTGCACACTAGCGCACTGATACAGCATTCAGCCCAGGACAGGGGGAACCCCTAGTCTCTGGGCTGGGAATCCGTGTGTGCTGGGCAGAACCTGCGCGGCCAGGAACCCCAGTGTGTAAGCGGGTTTCCTTCTCCCTGTGTTGTTGGCTGCGCAGGAAATCCCAGGTTGGAGGCTGAGGAATCCCGGGCATCAGCGCTTGCTCTGCACTGGCCGACAGCGGCGCCCAGAGGCTCCAAGTGGAACCGCAGCTTAGTTTTTGTATTTCAAGAAATCTTTTCTTTTAAAGGGAAGATGACAGCAGCGGAAATATTTGAATCGTATTCCTTGGTGATTCCATTTTCAGCACGAAGCATATTTTTCACATAAAAAACTATTATGTTTTTATATGCTAATATCTTACATAGATTTTTGACTAGGTAGAAGTATTTCTTTCAAAATCAAAAAGGCACGAAATAACGTAGAGTGCAAAGTAGGTCTCCTATTACATGTCCCACTGCTATTCAGTTCTTCCACCCAGAGGCAATCACTGTTGTTCCTTTTAAGAGTAATTATCCACAAAGGGAAGTACTGAAGTTAAATACTATTTCTTTCTCTTTCTTTCTTTTTTGGTCTTCCATCCAGGCTTATATTTGGCCAGAAAGTATTAACCCACCCCGCCGCACATTTAGGAACTAGAATGCAACTATTGTCATATTCACGACAGTCATCCAAGGTGTCCTACATTGCTTTTAAATAATTATATTTTAAAAATTTGCTTGCAATAGCAACCATGCAAGAAAGTAGGGTTTTTTAAAAACTGAATTTTTCTAAATAGAATTATTTGAAATAGGTGCATAATAATTTTGACTTTCATGAACAGACATTTAAAATGACAGTTTCAAGGATTTAATAGTTAATAACTATGACCCAAAAGATAATAACTCTGCTCGCCATCCATAGACCTATCCTTGAACAAATGTTGAATGATGTGAAAAAAGTCACGGTTTCATAAATATTTTGAAACACATTAGGACACTCTGACTTTATGCTACCATATTAGCTTAGAAGCATATTAGTAATAAATTAAAAGTAGAAATCAATACATCAGTATCTTCACTATACTAAATGGGTTCATCAGTAACTCCACTGACCGCCGGTTTAGAATTCTATGTACTTCTCTGCTTGTATTCAGATCTCATGCAAAAATAACATTACTTTCTTGGCTTTAAGTTTGTTTTGACTCTAAATTTCAGAGTTTTCAGAGTTTCAGGTGGAGTCACTGAAATGCCTTTGACACACATGTCTTGCTCCTGTACTTGGAACATGTACAAGTTTATCTCCCCCAATTTTATATATATCAGCATTAGAGATTGGAGAATTTAACAAAAAGTACAAAGAAAGCAGAACCTCAAATTTGCTTAACTTTCTATAGGCTCTCTGGAATCCCTATTGAGCAAGGAAAGTAAAATTAAAATGGAATGTCTTCCACATACAGAATGAAATTAGAATCACGGGCAAAACGGATGCTGCAGTGTTACCAAGTATAATGACACTTGGAAAAATTTAAGGACACGTATAGATCAGTAAATCCTCTATAGAACAGTAATGAAAATGGGTAGTATTTCCAGTGAGGTGAATGCATTTGTTTCTAACATTTACCCATTCTTACCAGGCCTACCTTCAAAATAAGAGCCAGGGTGATCTAAGGGGCTAGGGTTTCAGCATGTAGCCAACAGGAGAGCACACGAATTGACAAGACACTTCTGTGGCAGTCCTCTCTTAGGAAGTGTCAATATTATACTCAACAAAATGATAAAATGTAAGATTCTATGAAGCTACTCATAACAGGCTATGACAGTAGGCCTTCATTCGGACTAGGTTCGGAATATTTACCAGAAAGTAAAACCATATCACCTTTAACAACCATCAAGTTCTACATTTCAATGTTTTAGCAAGCAGCAAATGCCCTTGAAATGGAGGGAAAAGTGAAAAAATTATGATTAAGTTTCCATCATCATGCTGCAAACTGAAATGTAAAACCGATTTTAATTTTTAAAGGAGAGAAAAGCAGTAAAAATAGAACTCACTGGCACCAAAGGGGTATCTTCTATAGGAAGCCTGGAATCATCTAACAAAGACAGAGGATCCTTTTTCTCACAGCTCTCCTGGCTGATGAGCGTGTCCGCATAGTTGGGCTGAGGGAAGATCACGTGACTCTTCCGCGAGTCCGCGGTGAGCGACACCTCGTGGGAGTAGGTCTGCAGGAAAGCCCGCACCCCGTCCACGCCCACAAACTGAGATGTGGCCACACGCGCTAAATCATCTCCTGAAGCCTGAAGCAGGCGCGACGTGTGCCAGCGCCTCAGCCTGAGGGCCAGCAGCACAATGACAAAGGCCAGGAAGACGCAGGAGACCGCGGCCACTGCCATCACCAGATACAACGTGAGGCCTGAAGCATCAGAGTCTTGCGGGACCTCCAAGCTTCCCAAGTCAGCCAAGACATCTGGGATGCTGTCAGCTACAGCCACCGTGAGCGTGACGGTGGCAGAGAGAGGGGGCTGCCCATGGTCCTGGACCGCCACCACCAGGCTCTGCTTGAGCGCATCTCTGTCCAGCAGGGCCCGCGCTGTGCGCACCTCGCCCGTGTGCAGCCCCACCGCGAAGAGCCCTGGCTCGCTGGCCTTGAGCAGGCGGTAGGACAGCCAGGCGTTCTGGCCTGAGTCTCTGTCCACCGCCACCACCTTGGTCACCAGGTAGCCAGGCTCTGCGGAGCGGGGTGCCAGCTCCACACCAGTGGAACCATCCGTGGGCAGGGTAGGGTACAGGATTTCGGGTGCATTGTCATTCTGGTCCAGCACAAATATGCTCAGTGACACACTGCTGCTGAGTGGAGGGTCCCCGCTGTCAGTGGCTGTCACCTGTATCTGCAGATCACGAAACTGCTCATAGTCAAAGGATCGCAGTGCATACAGGACTCCTGTATCGGAATTGATGGAGACATAGGAGGATAGAGGTGCCCCCTGGATAGTGTCTTCAGCCAGGGAGTAAATAACCTGAGCATTTTCTTTGCTGTCTGGGTCCAGTGCAGTCACTGAGAAGATGGAGGCACCTCTGGGGTTGTTCTCTGGGATATAGGTAAAGTAGGAGATGTGAGAAAAGGTGGGTGGATTGTCATTGATATCTGCCACTTGCAAGGTGAAGTGAGTTTCTGTTGATAGGGGTGGACTTCCTCCATCTGTGGCTGTTACCGTGATATTGTAAGAGGATACCTGTTCCCTGTCAAGGGCTTTGTGTGTCACCAATCTATAATAACTGTCAATGGACTTTTCTAACTTAAATGGTAAATTCCCTGGTATGGAGCAAGTGACCTGTCCATTCTGCCCAGAGTCCAGATCATGCACATTTAAAAGGGCTATAACAGTCCCCAAAGGTGAATCTTCCCTCAGCGGACTAAACAGAGATGTGATGGTCATCTCCGGACTGTTGTCATTTACATCTTCTACTGTAATCAACACTTTTGCAGTTGCAAGATATGCTCCTCCGTCTTCCGCTTGTACTTCTATTTCATAGAAACCTGTTTCTTCATAGTCTAGATTTTCTGATAGCTTTATTTCCCCAGTATTTTTGTTTAGTTGGAATTTCAACAATTGTGTGTCAGGTAATTTTCGAAATGAATATGTCACTTCTCCATTGGCACCTTCATCCCTGTCAGTGGCGGTGACTGTCAGCAGCTGCGCGCCCACAGGCAAGTTCTCTGGAACATTCACTCGGTATTCGGGCAAACTGAAAACCGGTGCATTGTCGTTTGCATCGAAGACAGTCACACTAATGAGGACAGTGCCAGATCGAAGAGGGTCACCCCCATCGACGGCAGTGAGGACCAGATGGTGCATTGCCTCTTCCTCCCGATCCAGGGCGTGCTCCAGCACCAGCTCCGGGTACTTAACGCCACTGGCACGGCTTTGAACTGCTAGGGAGAAGTGCTTACTGGAGCTGAGCTGGTAGTTCTGTAGGGAGTTCACGCCCACATCCAGATCAACAGCTTCCGGGAGAGGAAAACGCATTCCTGGAGCAACGTTTTCATTAATTTTTACATCTACGTTTTCTGCTTGGAATTTTGGTGCATTATCGTTGATATCAGTAACTTCTATTTCTACTCCGAAAAGTTTCACCCTATCTTCCACAAGAATGTTAAAACTCACCAGACACTGCAGATTCTGTGCGCAGAGTTCCTCCCGGTCTATCCTGCCCGCGGTAACCAAGCTGCCGCTTCGCGCATTCAAAGCAAAGAGCTGCGTCCTACCTCTGGAGACGATGCGGACTCCGCGCTCTGCCAGTTCCCGGGGCTCCAGCCCCAGGTCTTTGGAGATGTTGCCCACAAAAGAGCCTTTCTCTAGCTCCTCGGGTACAGAGTAGCGGATCTGCCGAGCTTTGGCTTCCCACGGCATACGGAGGAAAAGGCAGAGCAGGATCAGCGCGCAGCGGTCGGAGCGATTCCTTAGAGCGGCCATTGTTGGCTGGTGACGGGATTCTCGCTGAGTCCTCACTGGGCACACTGTTGTTTTGGCCGGTTCCTTTTTCTTTCCCTGGCTGCAGGAAGTCTCTGCAACCTGCGCACCTTAAATTCTGGAGTGAATTTCGCTGCAGTCCTGGAGCCGGTTTGTGGGAATCGTGGAGCTTTGTGTATTTGAAGCCCTGAGAATCCGGATTGAGCGCCGGCTGCGGTTCTCTCCTGGTAGGTGAACAGCGGCGCTCAGAGTCCTCAGAAGTTACTGCACCCACTATGTATGCAACGGAAAGCAAACGCTACTCTATTTTGTTGTATATTTAAATTTATTTTACATTATTTCGTTGGTTTCTCAACTGATAGCCTTAAATCAACTACTATCTGTGGGTTTCTTACTTGCTGAAATAAAATGGAATGAAAGGACTACAAAGCATTAAATGATAATAGTTGATTAAATATATATTTTCAACACTCATTTTCCCAACAGAAATAGATCCAGGTTAGTAATGCTTACCGCTATATTCAGGAAAGCCTTACAAATTTATCTGAAATTCTGATTTAAATGGTCAAGCTGTGTTTAGTAGACATTCATATGGAAACTATATGAGATATACCCCTTATAATTCACTTAGACTCTTTTAAACTTTTGATTTGAGCAACCAACTAATTAATTGAATTTGTTTAACATTAAGATTGTGTAAAAGGTTTTCAAAATATTTTTCTAAAATGGTTTTATTGAGCTTCAATGAATTTTTAAAAATGTTTTATTACAGGCACATAATATTAGAAGTTAATTTGACCTATTAAAATGAGTTAAGCTAGTAATCACAAATTAAAGGGATTGTATTGCAGTGAGAAGAGAATATATACAAGTGCTACAATTTTTTAAAAACTGAAGTTAGGAATATTGATGCAGGCTTTTGAAAAATAAGTATTTATGACAAGTGACCTATTTTTACCAGGGCCTTGACACCAGTATAAGTAATCTCTTCTTTGCATTTTGTATGGAAGCTCAAAGTAAAGTGGCCCACACATCTAGAGTTGTATATTCCCATTAACCCAGCAGTAGTTCGCTCCTCAAAGGTGAGGAGTTTAGAGGTTCATTTCTTTCATACACAGAAAACAGGATGTTCAGAAACGTTTACGTCACTATGCCCCCAAGTATAGAACTCTTCAAAGATTTTATCTGTTGTCTTCAAAGATTTTATATCAGACAGAGATTGCACCCAGAAAATAGCATTTCATTTGCTTTCTTATAAACTCCTTGTCTTGCAATGCAGAGAAAAAAAGATTAGGGAAGAGTACAATTTGACCACAAAGAAAAGTAGATATAAGAGGCTAGAAGGACTAACAATTTAAGAGAAAAATTCCTCTAGACAGTATTAAGTTTTGTGGACCATAGAAAATTTGGCAATGGAATCAAAGTTTTGACTCCTTTCCCAAAAAAAAACGCATACATCTGTAACTTTGCTTGCTACTTCAGGGTTTCATGAAACTCTCACCATCCCCCTTCAAATGCTTACAGTTTAAAAATTGTTAAAATAAATAAAGATACCCAAACACACATCCTAGATTATTTGCAATAGATGGTTCTTTGGAATGAGCATCTACTTTGGTATTTAATGAGTATCTGGATATTAATAAACTTACACATGTAAATAGGATATGGAAAATCCAACTTAGAGCAGATTTGAATAGGGTATTATGTATATATGTATGTATGTATTTATTTATTATTCATTTATGTTTATTTATTTGGTAAGAAGCCAAGACCATGGCCTATGTTTTCCTAATCTAAGCTTGACAAGGTATCTCCAGTTTAGTGACATTCTTTATAAATTATAGAGCAACTTATGAACCAAGTAAGCCTTGAAAAATATAATCTGCAAAAAGTGAACATTGAGAAGACAAAATAGTGACTAGTTATGGATTTTCTAAATAAGATTCTGAACATGAAAGTGAAGTAGTATGCCTGAAATATGAAAAACTAGTAGAATATTACAGAAGACACAAAAATAAAACTCACCGGTGTTAGGGTCTCAGGATGTGAAGTCATATCACTCCCACTCTGAAATGGAATTAAGGCCCCAGGAGAATCACCACAAAGGATGTCTTGAGTGGTTTGCAAAGGCTCACTACATTTTAGAAAATTAAACTCGGTCTTTCCAGTATGGGCAACGCACAGATTGTAGGAATAAGGTAAAGTTCCTTCACTGTAGTTGGGGGGAACCACAGGTCCAGACTTGACACAGAGACCAGGATGAAAGCAGCCCCAGGTAGCGGGGCTGGAAGGGCGGTGTAGGCGCAAGGCGACGGCCAGAATCACCGCGAGGAGGAAGAGTACAGAGATCAAGGCCAAGGCCACCACCAGGTAAAACTGCAGCTCATC